GTATGATAAATCTGAAGACATATACCCTACTGCATGATATCCCTGTTTCAACTTTTTCTGAGATGCAAACTCCACTCAGAGATACTGAATTGTGCTAAACTCTTTCACTTTGCCTCGTTCCAATAAATTCCACATGCTGCACATTTTTGCTACACTTGAAATAACAAATGCACCCCGCTCCACCCGTCCATAAGAGAGAGAGAGAGAGGGAAAAAGTGGTGTACTGCAGGATACATATACAACATATGGCGTTAGATTAAAGATTCAGGCAGCCGTTATCGTGCGCACTTCAAGTTCATATAAATTAGATTTAGTAATGGAAACACAGGTAACAGAAGAAATCCCTTGGTCCCCTTTAAATTGACTGAGTAAAGATACTTCTTGATCCCTTGGTCTACTTTAAATTGACTGAGCAAAGGAACCTTCTTGTCTATCTTACCCGAGTCATCAACTATAAGACCATCTGACAAGGGATAAACAATAAAATTACCCCGCAAATCACCACATATCAGGACCCACAAGAGTATAATTTTCAGTCTACAGAGTAGTTTTCTACCATTTCCAACAAGACAACCAAAACAGCAGCTTAAGATTAAGACAGTGGATTTTTACGTGGGAATGATGAATGCCCTGTATCAATGAACATAAACATTTTAACATAAGAAACATATATTATTTAGTCTTTAGCTTACAAATAGATTAATTGCCAATATTTCTAGTGATGTAGCAATTATAAAAATAAGCTTCATCAAACCATGTGTTACATGGGTACGGGTACAGTTACGGGTACCGGTATAGTGTGGGTGCGGGTGTGGGTACTGAACATGACGTGGTATACATTGAAATTTAATAAATGAGATCAGTATTAATCTATTCAATTGAAGGTGCAATTTGAGTAGAAATCAGTGTACTCACAGGCACTCGATCATTGATACTTTTGCAAGGATATCTTTCGAATCATAAAAATCTCTCGTCTGAAAAATCAATGACAAAAAATAAATAACCCAAACAGAATGGAACTAAATGAAATTTAATGAAGAGGAGCAAACCGAAGGATGAAGGAGAATTCTTCTTTGAATAATCCCAGAGCTGTAATTGCACTCGATAATGGAAACTTCGCAAGGATTCCTTTCTACTTCTCAAATCAGTCCTCTAGAAAATCAACAACAAACAGTAAATAACTATTGCAGATTGGAATTAAGTGAGATGTAGGAAGAGGAGGCAAAGCAAAAGTGAATGATATTTTCTTCTTCTTCTTCGAATGCAACATTCAGCCTGTGCATAATTGCCCTCGATAAGGATACTTTGTAAGGACATCATTCTACTCGTCAAAGCTCACCTCTACAAAATCAACAGCAAACAGTAAATCCACGAAACGGGACTTTCGGTATTTATATACTCAATAGTATTAAGAAATCCATGAAACACTAGATAAGCTGGTTAACAAAGTTGAGTAGGTCCAGTTTCATACAGTGGCCGAGGCTTCACCTGAAAATCAAAATAAATTTCGAAACATAGACTTGAAGGCGCCAAGTTTCCATCTTTCTAGGGTTTTGTTGAAGATGACGCAGTTTGAAGGGAAACTCGCCGCTGCCGTTCATGATGCTGATCAGAAGTAAAAGAGAAACCCTAGCTCCAAGATTGTAAAAACAAACCAAAAAGAAAAAAGTTGAAGAAACGGAGAGAAGCTGTAGAAGGGGAGAAGGTACCTGTTTCCTCCAGCACAAACCCTAGATCATCAGAAGCCTTCGCAAGCCCTAGATCGTCAGAAGCCCCAAAATTGAAACCCTGAGTTGAGATTCGAAAGAGAGAGGGCGGGACCAAGGCTCTATTTATAGACGCGGTTGAATGCTGCGTTCATCCTCAGCTACGCGTCAAAAATGAAAATGGGGAAGATAACGCGGTGATTTTATCTACGCGGCATGTATACGAGTAAATAAAATATATACGCGTATATATGCGTAAATAATACGTGCATATATCCGCGTACATGATACGCGTATATACGCATAAACAAAGCGCGTGCATACGAGTTTTTGAATTACGTGCCTAATTCAGCACGATTGGGCCATTTAAAAGAACGCTCACATATTATTCTCACGGAACTTTGGGCATCGAGAACTGACTTAGAAATAAAAGAAAATACCTAGATCAATAAAATCGTTATTATTATTTTTTATTGCTTCGCGTAATGAAATCATCAATTTCAAGGTGTTGTGTTCAGCTCCACTAGTTTTTCTGCACTTGTAATGCACGTAGTTAAATTTTAAAATTATTTATTTATTTTTGTTTATTTTCTTACTATAAAATAAGTCAAATTCTTTTTGAATTAAAATCTATAAACATGGATTATTACACTTACCATAAATTTTAATAACACATATTTAAAAATATTTATGAAATAAATTTGTGTGTAAAGATGGGATCAATATACTTTTATATGCTTGCATACACAACATTATTTTTTAAAATTTGTATATATCAAAATTTATCTAACATATTTGTTTATTGCATCAAAACATGGACTCCAACTTATTTATCTTAGTCATTAAATGTAGTGTTAAGTTTTAAAAAAAACAATAATATATTATTGATGTGTTAATAAAAATATAATCAAATACGTAATATTAAGATGATTTGTATAAGCTCAACACAGAGCACATACTTTTCACAAGACTACAAGACATATTAATTATTGATATACTTCAAATAAAAAATAAATATTAAAGATTAATGGTGACTCCAGTATAATTTTATATGACAAAATCATTCACACGAGCGTATTAAAAAAATTTCATGAAAATCTCTTCTAAAGATTCCTAATTTTTCTCAAAAATGTAAGTTTTATTATAAAATATTTAAAAAAATATTATCCTTTATTTCTTCTTTATTCATATTTAATTGAGCCAAAATCCTTCTCCGCCTTTATCTTTTTCCTAGTAATTCTATAGTACTGCATTCATCATCTACATCAATTGTGATATCAGATTGATATATAATAAAGAGCAAAAGACAATACAAGAGTTTAGAAATATATTAGGATATACTTGGATTAATCAAATTATACTATTACTCATAATTGATATGCATCAGAGACAAAATGTGTTGAGTATCTTAAATTATAAAACAGACTATATGAGCCCTCTAACATAACTTTTTAATGCAAGCAACCCTTAAGATTAATTTTTAAAAGTTATTAGGGCTAGGAATAAACAACTAACAAGTTTGCAGGGGAAGCTAAGGGAATGTAGTACATTCTTAAGAATTTTTAATCTTTACTTAATTTGTTTATAATAACAGAATCTCAATATTAACTAACTGCAAGGCCTAGTACATTATTATTTTTATTGGGCGATCAAGGTAGGCAGAGGACTTAGGTGAGTCCACATCGCAATGATTGTTATACAATTTAAGTACAAAGAAAAGGTGAGGGTTGATGAATGGTGTAATTGGTGAGGGGGAAACTCTAACATCTTAATTTGGGTATGTGGATATATTATAGATGCAGATAAAGAATGATGGTTTTAAAAACAGTGGGTGTGTAGGGGTAATTAATATGTTTTTGTTTGTGTGGTTTTCTTCGTTCATTTTCAAGAAAATTCCTAACTTTATGATTGAGTGATCACAATTTTTTTAATAAAAAGATAGAGCACAATAATTTTAATTTGTATCAATAGCACCTTAACTGCATCACGTCCAGGTGTACCCGGAGCTACACGGTGATCATGATGCTCATTTGTTCGTTCTTTTGATAGTTAAGTAACAACCAATTCTTGCTATTCATTGTTAATATCAATCAAATCGCATTCTTGTCGATGATTTCTTTAAATTTTACAATATTATTATAGTCAGCACAACAAAAGAAAAAAAATGCTACAATTTGAATGTCAAGGATTTATACGAGAGGATACATCTTCCTTTGTTCCTATCTATAAGATTCGACCGCCCTCCATCTACAAAGGATATCAATATCAAATTACTCTCAACATTAAAAAGTTATGGTAAATATACTTTATCACTCGTTCTATCTTCCGCTATTGAATTTAGGTGAGATAATGGTCACAAACTGAGAAAGAAACATCTAACTTTTTTTTGACAGCCACAATAGGGGCGGCATAATTTATTCACGATTATCAATGTCTACGAAATTCATTCTCACATTTGTGAATTAGTATATGTTATATTAAACTAGTTTCAGGCTCGTGCGATGCACGGATTTATTTAATATATAAAAATTAATGTAACAAAAAAATATATAATAAACTAATAATAATATATAAGTAGTCAGAAATGATAAAATCTAACTGTATATATATATATATTTGACTTAATATTAAACTGTAAAAAAGAATGAAAATATAATTTTCCTATTCTCATAACAAAACTGCTTAAAATGCATGATGTCTATATGATTGATGTTATAATATTTTTCTATACCAAGTAATTAGTATGCAGCATAAAGTTTAGTTCCAAACAAAAAATATTTAAAGCACATAAAGATACCTGTCAATTATATATATCTAAGAATGAAAATAAAAAAATATCAATATATTGATAAACAAAATATCTAGCATATCATAATCATATCAAGTAGTTAGGTTTCTCAACACAAAAGTACCAAAATAACATGCACTGATTACAAAAGCTTACTAAATAAGGTTTTAGAACAGAATACTAAATTTAAGTTTCAGACATCATGAATCAGATAGGTTTTTTTTTCAAAAAGTAGCTTGTACTCTCTGTAGAATGTTCTAATTCTCTTTTTCAATTTTGATCTGCTTTTGCTTTTTGTTGCTTGACAATTGCGGAGAAATCAAGTCCATTGAAACAGAGTGTTCGAGATCAGATTCCAACAAATTTCTCTTGCAAGGTGTAATGTTATCCGAGGAACAAATTTCAACTTCATTGTCACAAGTGACCGATAAAGAGACCTGTGTTTTAGTATAAAATAATAGTTAGCATGCTAATGAGGTGGCAGGAATAGAATGTTGTAGAAATAATGTGAAGAATCAAGAAATCATTAGTAAGGTGAAAACAAATAGGCAATACAAAAGTTTTTTTTGCAAAGTGTCAAAAGTTAATTAGAAGTTTCACTGGATTGATAATGGGTCATTAACAAATAGAACATAAGCCACAAATAATGTTAACTAAACCTCAATCTTTCATTTGTTTTGAAAACTTATAAAACTCAAATGGTAAAAAAACCTTGTATTATTAAAATTCATTCTACTCATATGTTAGGTAATAATTTGACAATATATAATGCATTCTTTTAAAAAAAACCTAACATTAAAAACATATTCTACACATTCTGGGAAAATAAATGCATGCTTATTTTATCTATTTAGTTAGCATACTAATAAGATATAAAGAAAAGTTTTTTGCACTGTTAATGTGAAGAATCAAGAGAGCAAAAGTAAAACAACATTCAAAGTGGTAAAGGTGTAAGAAGCATCTACATTAAAATTGTATTTGAAAAATAATTATTGTCAAATATACAGGAAAAATTGGCTTTTAGAAAGTTTTGACTTGTTCGTTGTCCCCTTAATTATGAAGAGAGGTGTTGAGGTGTTAGTATAAGTATTAGTTTTGATCGTAGTTGAGTTTGGATGGAGGTTGTACATATAATGCTTTTGGGATGACATGATTAGTTACCTTTCATTTCACCCAAAATAATAAAAAAAATAATAAAAAATACAAACTTGAGGAATGAAAAAGAAAAGTAATACTAAGTGTCTTGACTTACATTATCAAGATCAACTTTCTTTTTTGAAGATTCAGCTTCATCAGTGAAATATTCTTGACCTATTGACTCCTAATGATTTAGAAGGAAAAAATATTACTAATATATTGCTCAATGTCATCTATATATGCAGATTGCTAGATGAAATGAATAGATATGTAGATTTTTAAAAGAAGGAAATATATAATGTACCTGGTTCAAATCTAAGCTGTCTCTAAAAGCTGCTATCAGATTTTCATCATCAGTCATTTTAGATACAGAAAATACAGGCCAATTTTGATTGAGATTGAATTCTGAAACTTGAATCTTGAACAAAAATTTCTTTTTCACCAACACATCTAACTCTCGAGGAAATGAATCATCATCACCTTCCTGTGAACAATATAAGTAAGCAAAGCAAAGCTATTGAATTAAACCTTTTAATTTTTACAGAAATTCATCATAGATATTACTTTTGTCAGTCGTTCCCTCAATTCGACTGCAGATTTGTCAATAACTTATTTAGCAAATTACCATTTTTAGCATTTACCTTCCTTTGACATTTTTTGCAGGCATTGTAAAACCAATTATAATCTGTTTGAATTTTCTCTATAGTTGCTAATGTTACACATGTGCAAGCAGGCATTGTAAAACCAATTATAATCTGTTTGAATTTTCTCTATAGTTGCTAATGTTACACATGTGCAAACCTGTGTATTATTAAATAGTAAGATCTGTTTGAATTTTCTCTATAGTTGCTAATGTTACACATGTGCAAACCTGTGTATTATTAAATAGTAAGAAAATAATGTTATGAATAATTTGCTAAAAAATTACAATTTGTGTTAAGATTAGTTGTGTAGTTTTCCAGTAATCCCACTAATTAAATAAACAGTTCAATATCAATTAAATCTAGGCTTAATAAAAAATTACCTCTCGTGCCTCTCGAATTTCATCAAGTGTCTTCCGCTCAGTTAATAACAAAAAATCCTCCTCAATGGAATAAGCTTTTTCAGTTAGAATCTGACTAAATCGTTGAGACGAAGAATCTTCCACAAGTTTCAGACTTGTGATAATAAAAGTAAATTAATCAGAAATAATATCAAATTACTTACAAATAACTAATGAATGAGATAATTCATCATGTACCTTTTCTTTAGATCAACAACTTCAGGTATGTCGGGATTGATTAATATCTTGGACGCATATAACGCATTTGTAATAGTAATTTTTCCTATGAAGTAAAGTTTTTAAATTCATGATTATGTCAATATATAAGCATACTCTACGAAATAAAAATATTCTTTTTTGATAAATTAGTATATTTCCAATAAAGATTTACCTCCATATGGTTTTGTCTTTGCAAGCTGAATCACCATTATAATAATTCCTGAATTAGCGTTCTGTACATACTATGAAACTTGAACAGCGTAATCACCACATAAACTACATTGCAATTTAATGTTGCTGCAAGCAGATAAAAATTTAGTACAGAATGCATATACACAAACTAACATGCACACGCATGCTGGTTACTATAAAAAATATGTAACTATATTGTATATATTTGTACTCACTTGCTATCTTGGAGTTCAAGCTCCAGTAATTTTCTCTTACTTCCATTACTTTCAACTTCTTTTACATTTCCAATAGTAATCAACTCTCCAATGATATCTAAAAAATTTCATATAATATAACGAAATTAATAAAAAGCCCGTAAGTATTGACTATATTAAAAAGTAGTAATGAAATTAGAAAAAACAATAAGCAAAACTATAAATTTAATTTGAAATAGTCGACTTTTTATCTTACCTATTAACGTAGTAGAGCTGATACGATTAGCAATAATATCGCCAAAGTCAACTAATCCAAATGAATAGGAAGGTATTAAAGAACTCTCGCATTCTTTAACAAATGTAGAGTAGAGGAAGTTAATTCTATATGCGTGATCAGTAGCTTTATAATTTCCAGTATTTTCCCCGACACCAAAATTCGTAATCAGATAGCAGTTGCCTTCATTCACTTGTGATTTGAATTTATCTATCAATTTGTTCTTGATTGTTGCTTGAATTTTTGCTCCCTTCCATAAAAAAGAGATGATCAGGGCCTCTTGATTGCAACTGAAATATACGAAAATTCCTCTCTTGCCAAATCATGTAGATTGAAGTAGATAATGCCAACCTTTTAAGCTTTATTTTAAAACTTTTCCCTCTCAAATTGTTCTCAAACCAGCTGGTGATTTGATCTCAATTACACGATTTCCTTTTGAAGCATAGCCAGTCCATTACTTGATTCCAGACACTAGCTGAAAATTAGCATTCAAAGAAAAGGTGCTGACAGGTTTCAATCTGTCCTTCTCTTGAACATAGGGTGCACTGATTTGAGCTCAGCATCCTCATTTTGCAAAGTCTTTCTTGTGTTAACAGCCTCGATAAGAATGCTAACCAGAGAATAAAGGAATGTTTAGGTAGATTCCATCCACCCCAAACTGTCCCTGACCATGTATTCAGATTTGAGTGTTGAAAAATTCTCCTGCACATCACTGAAACTTTGATTTTATCATTAGCACAGCTATCACTGATGACATTCTGGAGATTATTCACACTACCAAGTTTATCAATCAACAAATTCCTCACTCTTAAAAGCTGCCTCCACTGCCATGAATCACTCTTCCTTGGTTGGACTTGCCAGATAGTATGTTGTCTTAGATAGTGACCATGAATCCACTTAATCCAAATGATATCCTTCTTGAGGCGAATCATCCAAAGAAGTTTGGCCGCCATAGAATATCCTCTCATATGCCGGCAGGTTACAACTGATAAAATCAGTGATTATGGGGATACAAACCTACTGATAAAAAAAAGACTGTTGAGTGTGGTTATCTATAATATGCCTAAACTTTAGGGATTTTTTCTCAATTTAAAATAGTTGAGAGGATTTTTCTAAGATATCCACCATAGTTAAGGGGGCATGTCTTCTAAAATTAAAGTTAAAACCATATATGTAAAATTACACCTATGTTAAATTATATTTAAAGTTGATGAATTAGTCTTCTTTTTAAAATATTATTTGATGAGTTTATAATTTTTTATTATTGATTTGACATAATTTTTTGCTGATTTTTGCAAAGAGGGGCTTTTAGTTCACTCATGTCTCCCTATAAGATATTAATAGAACACAAGACAGCATAAAAATATATTTAACATATAAATATTTATAAAATTAAAAATTTTCCTATCACAAAAATATTTTCTACTATCTGAAAAAAATAAACAAATCATTTACACAAATTGCCCAATATATTACCTCAATTTCTCCCAAATTTATCAATTTTTTCTAATAATTAGATTGAAGTTTTATTGGTTCTTATGATTATTATAGGAATAAATATTTGGATTCTTAAGTTATTTTACGGATATTTTAAAATCACATATAGTTTTCTAATGAGTTGATACTTTAATGCAAGCATTACAGAATTAAGGTTTTAAGTGTGAGATTATTTTAGTTTAAATCAATATGTAAATGTCTTATATCTCCTCTAACTAAGTTGTTTTATTTGATTGATTCATGTTGCATGGTTTAACTCAATATACTCTTTAGTTCATACCAAATCCAAATGTTTTCATACTAAAACATCAACGTCATATGACCTTGCCAGCTATCGAACTCTATATAGGTCCTACATCAAACAGATTTTCTAGTGTGTAATCATAATTGGAGTGTAAAATATTTTTTTATCCATTTTTATAAATATTGTAAAAAATGAGAGATCTTACAAAATACAATTTAATGGTTATGCTATCTAATTTTAGTTTTAAAAATTTAAAACAAAAATTATCAATGAGCTCATTCAGCAAGCGACCTTTTCTTTTTCTCTTAGAATATTATAAACAAAGAGGAATATCGTAAAGGAGAGGCTAGTAAACTATCTACCTTTGAATTTTTAAATTTTGAATTAAAATCGTCCATCCCTTATTTTGAATTTCAAACTATTTAAAAAAAAGTCCAATTTAGATCATCTAATTTTTAATAATTTACATATACTATAAGTCATTAGTATTAACTATTTGTATGCTTATATCCATAAAAAAAATGAGTACACATAGAAAATAGAAAAGAAGAAGTAATAGTTTTAAAATTTTATATTCAATTCAATTTAGAAGCACGTGTAAATTTCTAAAGATGAAATATGTAGGGAACAAACATCATATTTTAAAAAAATTATACGCCTATCCTTAAAACCTAATTAAGCCCAGACCATTCAACACAGCCCTAATGTGTTGTTTGTGCTGGATTGTGGCTGGGCCGGCCTAAGACAATTAGTTTGAATTTTAGAGGGGAGAAGGACTAACTAAACCGTGCTGGGCTGTGACCGGGTCGGCGAACGATTGTATTTGTGTACGAAGCTCGAGCTTTCTTCTCTGCCAAAGAAGGTTGAAAGGAATCTTCATCTAGTATTTACCTAAATATAATAATAATAATTTCATACTACTTATTTGATTGTTGTTGGCGTTGGAATATTTATTTGTGAGTATTGTCGCATATTGGAAAGGATTACGACGAGTGACTAGATTTTGGGCCAATATGTAATAGTATTAAATTTTTTGGTTAAAGGGGCTGGTAGCCTCTGTTCAAGGTTCATTAGACTCTGATATGCCCCTGAATACTTCCCAACATTAATAGGGATGATGAAAAACGATATACTTATGTTTTACTTGAATGCACATAGATCGATCTAGCGCGCGTACATACTTATACCTAAAGCAGTTTCCAGTGTATATCATCAAGCTGGTTTCACATTTTCATTAAAAATAAAAAAGAACCGATCTGAATCTGATAAAAGTATTCCTAGTGGTCATAGGAATTTAGAGCTCGCTTCATATTGATGTATATGGAAGTCACACCACATCATTATACGTGAGTTATACTAACTAAACTACTCACTGTAGCATCTGATCTAAGATGATCGCTCAGCTAGCTAGTTACTCTTGGGCAGACGGACCTCAAACCCCCCTCCTCTACGCTCCACGACGCTAAAATCCATGTGGGTCCCAAAAATCCTGTCCCAAGCAACAAAGAACGGCTGCGAGAAGTTATGCTTGTGCCCCTTAAGCTGATGATGCACGTCATGATACGCGCAATTATTCCCAAACAAGAACCTCAGCGGGTTCCACGGCAGCCAAAGCCCGCTGTGCACGTCGACCGCCTTGACGGTCGCGAACGTGAAGAAGTAGATTCCGGTTCGAGGGGTCATGCCGGAGACGACGAAGGCGAGGGACCCGGCCACGGCGTCGAGGATGAAGAACTCGGCGGGGTTCTTGTAGAGGGCGGCGTAGGCGTAGGGGGCTACGACGGAGTGGTGAGTGGAGTGGATGTGTTTGTATAGCAAGCTGTAGGAGTGCAGGAAACGATGGCCCAAGTACTGCCACGCGTCTTCCACCAGCATTGCGACGAGGAATTGGCGTGTCACCGCCAGGGCGGATGGCTGTGGCTCCGCCTCCCTGCCCTTGTAGTTGTTGTTTATAAACTGCAACGAGTACTTGGACAGATTAAAACTTAATTAGGTGTACGTACGTAATTAATTTGGGTAACTAATTGTTTCATTTAATATTAATTTACAGTAGTGTCTATATACGCACACATGTGTGTATACGGGAAGCATTTCGATCGATGGTTCGATCGAGCTATGCCAAAGGAATTTGATCCGAGGAATATCAAAATAGTTGGCGAAGGGATTTATGCACTTATATACGTAGAACATGATCAGCCAAGAACTTTGATTTTAAATATACTGATTAAAATCAAATTAGTCCACTCACTAATAAAACTTGAAGGAACTATTTTCCTTTTTTTCTTTGTTCTTTTTTTTAAGTTCGGCCTTAATTATAAAGTGGCCGGGAGGCTTTTAGTTAGTTAGCTTAATTAGTATGACCAAAAACATTAGGTTGATTAGGTTTTAATTAGCTTAATTAGTCTGACAAAAAATATTCATTTAATTAGGTTAGTTATACGTTATCGGACTGTAGTTATGCATTCTATTGGGCCTTCAATTGGTTAGGTCAATTTTACCCTATAGGCCTACAGTAAGGCATGCTGGTCTTTAATTACTTAGGTTAATTTGTTGGAAGGGGCCTGCTATACTTAAGCTTCTTCTAATTTTAAGTTGGGCCTACGATATGCTGAAACAAATTAGAAGAAACTCTGTACCATTCCCTTTTTTTTTCTTTTTTCTTTTTTAAAGTTGGGAGGCTTTTAGTTAGTGAGCTTAATTAGTCTGACCAGACAATTACGTCCTGCAGTAATGTCTATTTGGCCTTAAATAGGCTAAGGTCAAATTTACTGTATGGGCCATGTAGCTGTGCATGCTTGGGTCTTTAATTAGTTTGGTTAATTTGTTGGAAGGGCCTATCCTTAAGCTTATATTAACATACTTACCCAATTTTCATTCCTTGCTATAGCTAGATCATCCTTTTCATGGGCCATTCCAAAATTCCAACCCAACAAGCTCAAACAATAAAGAATTATCATATATATACTATTATTTAAAAATAAAAAAAAAACCATATTTTGTCTTATGTGAGCTTCATTATTAATTAGAATCCCGATAATATCCTCATGCTTTGAAAAAAAAAAAAAATCAACAAAAATGTCCTCAAACTTTGATTGTGTGCTGTATAAAAACTTTGATTTCCAAACTTGAAACTTAGATATAGAGATCGAGATAGAGTTTAAAGCAAATGTAAATGAAGATGAGAACAGGGTGCATGGTGGTACGTAGTACCCTTTGAGTGAGGACGACTACTGCAATCTGAATTGCCTGTTGCCGAATCATGCCTTTGAGAACAGTTCCCCTGGACACAATGTTCTTCTCATCTTCTTCAACCTTGGGATGAAGCCGGTACCGGTCAAAGCGCCCGAGGATTTCATACAGTCCCGAGAATAACCAGTACGCGATGATGGGCACGATAGTCAGCAAAACATCGTCGGAGAGCTCAAGATGAGCCATTGATTGATTGGTCGCCTCTCGACGAAGATTCAAGAACTATATATAGTCTTTATAGTTGATACTGTGAAGGTCGTAGAACAAGCTTAATTAGCTTTAGGAGCAGTTCAATTTTAGACTTAGGCAAATTGGGTAGCTACGTTAGATGATCCGCTCATGAAATTAATGGAGGGATTTATTGAATGAAGCTTGGGATTTTTTCCGTGGTTGGTTAGCGGCCGGCTGGTAACGATAAAGGTTAAGATGGTGACGAGATAAAATAAACTATAAAGAACTTTTTTGATAACGTTTACTTCCTCTCTAGGTGATTACATTAAAGCATTCATAATATAAAATGTCAAAAAGAAGCTGTACGTGTATATATAGAGCATAGTTTGTCAAAAGAAGTACAAATTAATACATGATCTATCTTTAGATTAAAAAGAAGCTGTGTATATAGAGCATAGTTTGTCTATCTTTAGATTAAAAAGAAGCTGTGTATATAGAGCATAGTTTGTCAAAGGAAGTACAAATTAATACATCTATCTCTAGATTGACATTTAAACTCTTGACGAAAATTATTGACATCTGAAAATATTATTAAAATAGAGTAAATTTAACAAAAACCTCCTTAATTAGCTTGGTTATTTTTGAGATAATCCCCCCAAGCTTTAGAATGTCCTAAAATTAAATGATCCATTCATGAAATGCCTTTTTATATCATTCAAAATGTAATTTCCACCCAAAAAAAAACACTAAATTTTGGTTGGGGTTAGGAGATTAGTTTAATTTGATACCTAGCTAGAGCGTTAATTTTCAGAAAAAATATGGCAGTCATTTTACTAGTTTCATCTACCATCACGAAGTTGGTTAGTCGAAAAAAGTGAAATTAATGTTTTGGGGTGGGGTTGGGGAGCGCCTCCTAATGAGGAGATCTTGGCCTTTGATTTATCAATCAAAGGTCAAGATCTCATTCTCTTCCTCCTCCCTACTTTTCCTCATGAGGAGATCATGACATTTGATTGATAAATTAAAGCCCAAGATCTCATGAGGAGATCTTAGGAAGGGTCCTCTTTAGTAGAGGATCTCAATCCCGCTCTCAAACACTCCAAACTTAAGGAGCATTAAAGTGACATTTTTAAAGTTTAGGAGGTTATCTTCAAATCGACCAAACTTAAATGAACTTTGTGAAAATTACCCTTAAAATACATTATTAGTCTTGGATACTACAATAACAACAACAAAAATATGTTATTTATTAGATCTATGTATCAACCGCAATCAATGTTTTAAGAATCTAAATTAGAAGTTGAAGACGAAACTTAAAAAACAAAAGTTCAAGATATTTAAGTAGTAATAGAATAAAACACATTGTTATTAACGTGATCTTGGAGAGAGAGTATATATCTATCCTACAGCAAGACTTTATACAGCGATTCGGATTCTCTACGATCTTGATTGTGGAGAAAGCCTACATTTAGCCGTGGATTAATATTATTGGTTTATGTTAGTCAGCCCTACAAAAGATGCTTTGCGTATAATTGAAGTAATTAACATCATTCATGCTGATTTGACTAGATTTGATTTTATATCTTTCTCAATTTATGTCCATTGTGAAAAATAGAGTTTAGCAAAATTACCATTTGTATATTTGTATCTTGTTGGTAACATGCTACTTCTTCATGATTAATTTTTTTAGGAAATTATTTTATGATTATTTTGTTTAACACTGTCGGGGTCAACAACTTTGCACGCCAGGAAAACTCGACCTGGAATTAATGAGAGGTTTTAAAAACCGAAATATTGACCTTCTTTTTCTCGAAAGCTGACCGAAGCTTAATTTCATCGCTAATTTTTTAATCTTTCTCTGGAAACTTAGACTTATTAAGCCATGATTAAGTAGTCACTTGACGTTGACATCAAACCATATTCAGCGCTTTAAAGATCATCATTAAATAGTCAAATGTGGTTCCCATCAAGACCCAATTTCAGCTCGCAAAGATCGCCATCATAAGGTAATGAGTTAATTGCGAAAAGATCCCCAGTGATATCACCTACTTGCAAAGAAATCATCTATAGTTCTATTAGTTACCAATTGACACAATACAGTTCTACTTGTTGCGAATAGACACCCAGTAGTATTGAACTAAGTGCAAATATATTCACCTAGTGAACTTTTTTGACTCTCTTAAAAGTAAAAAGAAAATAGCAATTAAGTGTCTATCTTCACCAATAAAACTGTAAAGGGGTCTATCCACCTCCTCAAATATTTTTAATGATTTTAAGAGTAAAAAATTTTCACAAGTAAAAAATAAGGTATCCTAGACGGAAAATTCCGTCTAGGTTACTCAGAATTCCGTCTAGGATGTGTATTCTAGACGGAATTCCGTCTAGAATACGCGTCTAGGAAGTTTCGGTCTAGGATGTAGTATTCTAGACGGATATTCCGTCTAGAATATATACTAGACGGAATATTCTAGACGAAATTCAAAACCATCTAGAATACATCCTAGACGGAAGTTCCGTCTAGAATACTGCATCCTAGACGGAAAAAATTTCCGTCTAGGATGCAGTATTCTAGACGGAAATTTCCGTCTAGGATACTCATCCTAGACGGAAATTGATGTTTTTAATTTTTTTTTAATTTTTTTTTTAAAAAAAGGCATCCTAGACGGAATTTGAGCATCCTAGACGGAATTTCCGTCTAGGATGCTATGCTACAGTAGTTTTTTTTTTTATAAAATCTACTTTGAGTATATGTACACAATATTGAACAACAAAAAAATATATTCATATCCAACACAATCTAATTATATTCCAATATAAAATCTAATTATATTCAAATAATACATTCACCAAAATAATAGAGAGATACATAAATTGTTTACATTATAACATTCGGCATGAATAAAATCCGTCGCATCACCCTAATTACATTATAACATTCACAATAATGTTTCCGACAGTGGGACTTCGTGCAGTTACATCTTGTGTTCATGCCTGAACTTGATGCAATCTTGTCCTTGTTCTACATTATAACATTCACAATAACTGTTAAGAAAAATGTTGAAATTAATCTCTTAATAAAAAAGGAAACCATAACAGCTCCTAAAGGGAGGAAGCACGTAAAACCTGTGCCTAGGATATCCTTAAAATTGTCCGAAGATGGACAAGTGTTTCCACCGAGCACGGCAAGCAAATAGGCAGAAACAAGCTTCATTCTGAGAAACATGAGCACAATGAAATCAGGGGACATCTCAAAAATCAGTTCCAACTAAATAATTATAGTATTTTGGTGAGAGGATTTCCATGAACTATAGAGAACAATGAAGCCTAACATTCTATAGAGTAGATATTAATGTGTAAAATTAATGTCCAAGACTAAACAATGAAAAGATTAGGTGCCTTATAAAAAGAGCCCTGTCAACCATTGAGTTCCAAATTGTGAAAAATAAACATAAGACATTCAGCTTAAAAGCAGAGAGAAAAGGTGATCTAGTAGAACAAGGAGAAGATTACCGTTTCAAGCAGAGTGCGTTACAAGTGCAATATATGCTGGTATTGTTTGGAGGTGCATTTCCCCTGAAATCATAAAGTATGAGTAGATAGATTGAGGTTGAGGCCGAGAAGGTTGAGTTTCACTGTTGTGCATAGGCAAACAGCGGCCTCAAGGTCGACAAGATTGCCGAGAAGAGAGCATAACTGAGCTCAATGGAATTAGATTTAAGAGTCATTGATCACGGTTGCGTAGTTTTTAGGAATTATTCAAGAATCCTTATTGAACATAACTGAGCTCAATGGAATCCTTCAACCGCGATATTGAACAACTGCTTACATGACAAATTGCTATAACCAGGTTGAACATCGAAACACTTATGACTCGTGAGATGCTTTCGCGATTATTTCATTAGTTTTAATTTTTGGGTAGGCAAACTGGAGCCTCAGTCAATATAGTTTCCAACAAACGGACTAGCTAGAAAAACATCAGGCTCACCATCGATCGCGGCCGCTCTCTCAGTCATTTCATCGAACAGAATGCAGGCGTCCTAATCGTCCCCTTCCTCGATCCTCCTCTCCTTCTTCTTCTTCATCTTGACCCTCGCCTTCATCCCCGGCTTCAAGTGCTCCCTCTGGAACCCAACCATGACCCTCAAAACCCGGACCAGCGCCTCCTCAACCTCGGCCCCGACCCTCTCGTCCCTCTCCAGGACCCTCAGCGCCCTTGCCACCACCTCCATCATGCTGACGCACCCTTCAAACGGCTCCTTCCTCACCACGAGCTCTCTCTCGTAGCTGATCGGGCCCTCCACCCCCTCCTCACACTCCAGAACCACGTGGGTCGCAGATATGGACCTCAAGAAGGGCATGCTGGCGGTCACCATCTCCCTCGCCTGCCTCCACGTGCCGTCGAAGGCGATTAAAGTGGGGCCTGTGTGGGCACAGCAGGAGAGGGGGAGGGGGCAGAGGGAGGAGGGGAGGGGAGGGAAAAGGAAGAGGATGGTGCTTTTGATTTCTGGAGGGGGTGGGAGGTTAGACGGAGCTTGCGGCCAGGATGGGGTGGAGGTCGCGAGGGAGGAGAGGGGGTGGGAGAGTGGAGAGGGTTTTATCGTGGAGGGAGTGGGTGGTGGAGGAGGAGGATGCGGTGGAGGTGGGGGTGGGCTGGAGGTGAGGGGATGATGTGGCGACGGTTGAGGAGGAGAATGAGGTGAAGGGGCGGGGGCGGATTACTGCTGTCGGAGGGGTTGAATGGGGTGGGAGGAGCGCGGCAAGATGAGGAGAGGTGGCTTAGTCAGGTGTTGGGGGTGAGCAAGGTGTGGTGGTGCTGGTCGTGGAAGAGGGACGTGGAGGAGGGTTGAGCGGATGGTGAAGGTGATGAGGAGGAAGGGGTGAAGGGGCTGAGGATCTGGGGTTTTTTGGGTGAAGGGGGAGAGAGAGGAGAATGAAGAATTGGGGTTTTTTTTGGGTTGGGGGAGGGGGGATTTTTGATTTTGGGGGGGGGGAATTTTGGCTGTAATTTTTTTTATTATGAACAGGTATCCTAGACGGAAATTTCCGTCTAGGATACCTGTTCGTATCAAAAAAAATATTTAAAAAACAAGAACCGTCTACGATAGTATTCTATATGAAAATTTCCGTCTAGGATATTTTATACTAGATGAAATATTCTAGACGGAAATTTTTCATCTAGTTTAATATCAAACTAGACGGAAAATTTTTCGTGGAAAATTTTCCGTCTAGGATACACGATTTTTTACTAGTGTTTGCTTATATTCGCAACAAGTAAAACTATAGATGAGTCTATCTATAACAAATAGAACTACAGGGGGTCTTTTGGCAAGTAGATGATACTACACGGGGCGTCTGGGTCTTGAACTATTAACTCTAAATTAATTGTCAATGTTATTCACTTTAATTAAAACCCATCTCTAAAGGACGAGCGAATTAAATGGTTATTGGCGGGACAAGTCATGTGCATCCACCCACTACTACAGGTGAATGAACCTCTTTGATGGGTGACCTGCTTCTTGAAGATGCAGACAAGAAATGACTTGAGGGCGAACAGGAGGTTAATTTCACAAAAACACCCATGAGGTTTCAAGAGAGTTCTGCACTTGACAATCATGAACTTTTAGGAATTCCACTAAGGGCCCGTTTGTTTTGAGTTTTTGGGAGGGGAAACTCTGCTACAATTCTGAGAAGCAGGGTTTCTCCTCCCAAAAGAAAGAAACAAACGCGCCCTAAGGGGCTGTTTGTTTGCCCAAATAATAAGGAAAATGAGGATTTGAAAATTGATTTGAGTGCCACATAGGATTTAGGTTTCAGAACATTTTCATTTCACATGTTTGGTTTGTTTGCCGATTTATAGAAAAAGGGCTCCGAAATAGGGTTCCATGTCACAATTTAGATAAATGTGTTTTCAGCGGATTTTGGCGTGAAAACGGGGGGAAATGTCACTTCACCCATTACAATATTAACGCCGTGATTTTTTCGAGGCGGCGGGAATGAAAACTGGGAAACGTTTTTAGAGTTCTCTTAACCGCCTCTTCATCATTCCCCATTCCGTCTCTTGGTGTCTCCATTGCTCTGCTATTATTAATCCTTGATTTCACCAATATTTCAGCCAACAAAACTTAGCGTTGATGAACTATCAAATGATAGAAGTGGTCAATGACCATTCAAACATTTTTGGTGAAGCTGCTCAGCCAGATCTAGTAGAAAAGGTGGGTTTTTTGGGTGGCTTGTAATTTTTTTCATCTTCTACTTGTTGCGGCGTAGCCAGATCTGCACCTGCTCAGTCTGATTTTGACTGTTAACGGAGGTTCTCTCACCGTCAACCGCTAGAGGTTCGATCTGACTTTAGCTTAAGGTATCGCTTGTTGATAGAGCCATTTAGTTATAAATTTTCACCATGCATCTAATTTAGAGTATTTCAAATATTAATCTGAGACTTTGGGGGTTTATGCGTTCATAACAACTGCTTCATGCAGGTAATTGAAGAGATTTATGATTTATTTTATCTTTTTTCTCCAATTTCCCATTTTTAAATCCCGTGCTTTTTGGTAATTTTATAATTTTTTCCCCAACATGAGCGGGTCTATTTCAGCTCTTATTTCCTAACCCCAACATGATCGGGTCTATTTCCCATATCTACAAGCTATTTTCCATATATGCAAGCTATTTTAATGAACAATTGATAAAAGTTATCAAAGTTTTATGCTCTTATTTCCTAACCCTAACATGAGCGGGTCTATTTCCCATATCTGCAAGCTATTTCTCATATCTGCTATTGATCATGTTTGTTCTAGAGTAAATTTCCAGTCTTTAGTTAAACTGATGTCATTTTTTACGCCTTTAGGAATTTAATGTGTTGTATCATTAAAATTATCTGATGGATAATACCGACTTAGTTAAAATGGGGTGCATAAACAAATTATTTGCTGGATAATACCAACTTAGTTTCCTAAATTTCTTTGGCATTTAAAATATTAAATTTGTGTCATGTAAAAATATGTGTTCAACAATAGGTATTCACTTCTCAACTGCTTATTTTGTATAATGTATCACGTATCAGCTGCTTATTTTGTAGATAGGTACAATGGCGGTTCTAAAATCTGGGTTGCTTGTTTTGTAAGCTTTACTGGATATTAATAATTCCACAGCCCTACAACAATCAGTCGACTAGTCAGTCGACCAAAACAAAACAAAAACTTTTTGACATTCCAGGTGATTTTTTCAGTCGACTGATGTCATCAGTCGACTGACCAGTCGACTGATAACAAGTTATCAGCCTGTTTTGAAACAGAAATCTGATTTTTAAACCTCTTTTAAAAATAGCAAATAAAATCAGAAAAATGTAAAACTTTAGGAAATGATTGTAAACATGATAATATACATGTTACAAAAACTGATTTTCAAAATACACCTCCCAAAAGAGAAATCTCTTCATTTTACAAATTAAATAGTCCAAAACATGTAAATGAAAACCACTTGTTTTTGATATTGGAAATAAACCATGTTTTGAAACTTTATAAACTGATTTTATAGACTTAATAAAAGATGTATGTTATGATTGTTAAGTCTATAAACTAATAACTCAATATTATGCAAAGATGAGGTTTTGCACAATATGCATTTAACAAATATGAAACATGTATATATATGTAAACAATAATATAGGTTTCATATTTATAGAAACTTGTAAACTATAAAACTAAAACTTGTGTATATATACATAACTATATATATATATACATAGAACCAAATAAAATGTGTGTGTATATGATATTTAGCTTAGAGTACTTAACACACATAATATAAAACCTAAACTAAATTACCCAAGCTTGATGAAGGTCTTCAATGAGCTCGACTTGGTAAACTGTGCGGATGAAGCAGGATCTTGGATCTTTAACTTGAATGTAATGCTTCACTCCACAATTCCGCCAACCTCCATTGGATATGATCGTGAATGCTCGATTTTATCCATCTACCAACCTATTGTTTGTCTAGAATACCTAATAAGAAAACATAAACACTAGACAAACAATATTAGGAATTATTTGTAATCATCAAAATAAGATTAGAAGATGTAGGCTCATAACATGAGACCTATCAATCTCTCCATTTTTGATGATGACAAACAATCTACACAAAGAGTATATAAGATATATAATAAAACACAATACTCTTAAAATATACTCATAATCCACTTGTTTCTCCCCCTTTGGCAACATCAAAATGGGGGGAAAAAAAATAAGAGAGCGAAAGCTCCCTCTATCATAAAGCATAAGTGAGTATAAACAAAAACAAAAAAAATGTATAGGGATTGCTCCCCCTATCAAAATGCCATATGAAAAATATGCAATTATAAACATGACAAACAAATGTGAGTAAGCATGGATATAGAATATCACAACTCATATTAAAAAAGACCAAGTGGCCACATATATGTGTTATTAAGAGAAGAGTCACAAGAGTCTAAAACACAGATATATATCCAAAAAAAATCAAACATCAAATGATTTAAAAAAATATTTGGATATAAACAAAAGTAGATCATTAAAAAAAATGAAATCATGAACCTCATGAAGGTTCAAATAAAAGCCTCAAATGATACTAAAATAAATTCAAAGTGTACATATTGTATCATTTTGACAAAAGCAAGAGAGGTGAGCATAACAAGCTCTTGAAACAAGTTTCAACCCAAATAAAATTTCTAGCATCCGGTAAACCTCCCAGGGTTTGCTCAAACATATAACCTCTCATATGCAAATACAAAACAAGGTATATATCTAAAAAGTGTTTGAGCAATAGAAGAAACCATTTTTGTAAAACTTGATCAAACCATATAAGGAATGCATTATAAACCACAAATAGATGATCTGAAAACTAAAACACATAAATATCATCATAAGAGTGTTTCATAATGATCCTATAAACATAAACACATAGTTTAAAGTTAAAAATTTAAAAACAAAGTATAAAAACAAT